ATTTGCACGTCAGTCTGATCCCATTATGTATAATATATAACATTAAGAGTTGCTGCATACTCATGTAGTTCATTTCTTTCTTCTTTAAGTCATGCTAAGGATTTGGGAAGTGATGATAAGATATATCAATATGTCATAGGCACATGCAATGCTGAACGTATTTGCACGTCAGTCTGATCCCATTATGTATAATATATAACATTAAGAGTTGCTGCATACTCATGTAGTTCTTTTCTTTCTTCTTTAAGTCATGCTAAGGATTTGGGAAGTGATGATAAGATATATCGATATGGCATAGGCACATGCAATGCTGAACAATATATATTTGCACGTCAGTCTGATCCCTTAAAATATCCATCATTAAGCATATACTCAGTGTTATTCATATCTCTCTCTGTCTTTCTTTCTTGTAAAGAGTCTGGGATATGATGATAAATATATCGATATTTCAGAGCCATATGCAATGCTGAACGAACTATTTGCACGTCAGTCTGATCCCAGCTCTTGTTTTTGTTTCTTTATTTGCATATAAGACTATAGCATAAATCTCACATCATAGCTATTGTTTTGGTTGGAACTTGCAATTAGAGGCGCTTCTGCTTTGGTCTTAAAATGAAAGTTGTTTCCGAAAATCTTTGTTTGTGTTCTCAATTCTGTTGTAGATTTCTCAAGCTCAGTTGTTATACGCTCAAATTATTAACTCAAGTTCATTGCGTTGCAGGTATCTCTGTTGAAGAAACGGGTGAATATTGGGAGCGGCACACCAAACAGGTTAGTAAATCTCATCACTTCCTTCGACTTAAATCAAATTTCATTGTTTTCCTTGACTTGTGTCTTCATATCCTGACTGTTCTCTTGCTCTTCTGTGCAGAATCAAAAAGCTAATCGACATAGAAGCGTTAGGGCTTTCGCGTTTAGATATGATTGTGGTGGACATGCACCCAGATGTCAAGGGATTTTCCTTATTCACATTGCCTCAAGTCAGGTTGGTTTCTCAACTCTTGAACAAGCTGCCCCATCATCATCAATCGAGTGAATTTTTCTGATTTTTATTGTCTGTTATATTTGCAGAGATGAGTTTTGGGATTTGTATAAAAACTGCTTCCACCAGAGAGTCTTAGAAGGAAGACTACGTATCTGCATGTATGGTCCGAAGCCAGCTCCAAACTTAAAGAAGAAGAAAAAGAATTAACTTTGATTGTTTAGTTGTATCAAATTCTTAAAATTATCAAAGAAAATCTTATACTCATCTGTTTTTTTTACCTTCCAAGATAACTCGGATTTGAGATTTCTTGGTTCAAGCGGCTGCTCCAAGTCTAGATCAAAGAAATTCTACTGAAAATGTTTCACATACAAAATATAATGGATTTTGAACGCCACAAAACTTTTGCTATCAAATCATCATACTACTTAGCTCTGATTTTGCAATACTTGATTTGTTTATCATACAGTGATTAGCTTGTGAGAGAAATGCAGTATAGCTTTTGGCCTAAAGTAGTGCACTAAAAAAAATCCTCTAAAAGTCAAATCAACACAAAAGTATACTATAAATAAATGAATGTATATATCTCTGGGAAAGTGTGTATGTGGGTTTGTCCAATAGATGGTGGGGAAGAAGATCCCACAAATGCAGAAAATAGTGGAAACACCACCCAAAGAGCTTCTAGATGTTTGACTTTAGAAGTTTCCATTAAACAAGAAAGACATTCAAAGTAATGTCTTTTTTAGTTTTGTGAAAGATGCATGATGATCCCATTATAACATAGTTTTAAGATAATATAGATTTCTCTCTGTGTTCCATTTTAGTGTACAGTACATAGCTCTGTTTCATTAGATCATATTTATCAGGGCAACTATGGCCCTGTTCTAAGAGTTTTTAAATATTAAAACTGATGAAAAGTTGGGTTTGGGCTAGGAACGCGTTCTCCTGCGAGAACAGTTCGGAGCCATGTTTGTGTGTACGTGGCAGGCCGTCATTGGTCAGGAGATGTGGAAATGGAAAAAGTCTAGGTTTTTCTTTCTTTCCTCTTACATTATTAATATTTTTTCTCCTTTAAGATCAATCTTCAAAGATGCACTTTTGCATATGCCCTTAGAGATGTTTGTAAGAACACTGAACACCTATAATATAGACTTGTCAACTGAACGAATTAATGAGTATTTTATTTTTAATCCTATTTTTAATCCTAATTAAATTAAATTTATAGTCAACTCGTTGTTGTGTGACATGACACTTTTTCTAAAAGGAGTTTTTTTTTTTTCTTTCTTTTTTTGATAAATTTTTCTAATAGGAGTTATTATGATCATTTTTAATCAACAACAGTAACAAGATAAAAAAGTGTCGAATAGTTTGTTTGTTTTCTCCACGCAATGGTTTTATTTTGGTATACGAATCTGCATATGAATTACCAGTAAAAAAAATTACTGTAAAATTCTGCCAGTAACTTATTTCACGTGGAATGTATAAACTTTTATTAGATAACTTGTTGATTTGGTAAATCTTTTTGTTATGCTCTGCCTTACTTACTGCATACAATAAGTGAGTCAGTGAGAGTTACTCAATGGCCCTAAATGATAATTAAATATAAAACTATACAAGGAATAGATAGAGTAAAGATGAATGAAATATATGTGAGTGAGATACAAAATGAGATATAAATAAATGTATTCTACTTATGTCTTTAAACAATTGCAAACAAATATTTTCTTTTGAAGTTTTTAGTGGGATAAGTGGACCGAGTGAAATGCTCATTCCATTCAACATAAATGGTTAATTAGCAAAAAATTGATGAATACTTCACTCCACCATAGTTTATTCCACTAACTAGACATCTATTTGCATCTCATGAAGTGTTACACAACTATATATCTATGCATTATGTTTCAGTCATTAATTACATATCAATATCATGCATAAGGATGTGAAAGAACATTAGTATGATTCTTCCTTCTATTCAGATAAACATATTCAAGATAATGACAGAAACTTCTCAAGACTTAAAAAAAAAAAAAACTTACTAACCTCATAAATCGATCTAGAATGTGGTACACTTAAGATAGTATAGAAACTAAATCTAATAATCAATCACCTAAGCAATAAGAGTTCCAAATTATGTCGTTTACAATTTAGAATTAGATTAACTTTATCCTTTTTCATATTATTAGGTAGCCTACTGGCAAACAAGAAACGAGGAAGTGTGTAATAATTGGATATTCTTATATTATAAAGTAAATAATCTTATAATATTTTTAGGGGGTCCATCTTATAATATTAAACAATATAGTTTTTTGTTGGCAAATGAAAAAAAAAAAAAAAAACTCAAAATAGTTCATGTAATTCTTTAGAAAGTCGATAATTAATGTTATTTTCTTAAAAGCACACGTATTGCTTAGGTACATTATATGTCACATTTTTTGGATTAGCTCCGATGGTGATTGGTAGCTTCAAACTGCAGAGGCGAGGAGAGAAGTCGTTCATGCCGGCTCTAAATTAAATGATTTGAGTGTTTTAAATTTATTTTTTTAAAACAAATGTATGAATGTAACCAAAATGGGATACTATTTGAGATACGATTTAGTGTGTAAGAAAAGGTGATAATTCCATACTTAAGTCTAAGATTTGATTTTGCACCAAAAAAAAAAAAAAAAAAGTCTAAGATTTGACAAGATGATAAAACACTGTCAATTGATCTTTCTTATACTTGCAACAAATGCAAAATAAATATAAAAAAATAAAAAAGAGAGAGAGAAGAGTAATTGGATTCTTACTTTTTGTTTCTGATAGAATACAGTAATTCTGATGATGGCCAAATCATTCCTATTTTTTATCCAAAGTGACAACTTTATTTGCAAATATTCTTATGACGTCAGCATGATTCATGTATCTGTTTCTAAATGCGAAAGACCTTCCAATTTCATTCATACGGAATTACGGATATAGACAAATAGGTGGGGATGTGTCTTTAGTCAAATGGTTAAGGAATGGATCGGACCTTGTCGCGTCACTCGTTTCAATTCCACTAAATTGCGTTATCCCGTGTATTAGAGATTAGGAATGGATCGGACCTTGTCGATCCAAAGATGTAAAAAAAAAAAAAAAAAAAGTTTTTGTACCCAAATTTTGATGACGTCAAGGTTGCATAGGTGTCTATGTATGCAAAAGTGACACGTGTCAGATCCCTATGTCACACGTTGGCTAGTAGAAAGTCTAGAGATAATCTCTCATATTCGTTCACTTTTGAACTGGTCTTCGATGTTAATCCATATTTTAAACTTCTAAACTAGAAAGATTCAATTCAGATTGGCCAATAAATTAATTTATTTTAAAGGTTACGACATTGTCTTATTTATTAGCTTAAAGTCCAGTTTACTTTGCCCTCTATTATTAGTTAAACTTATATCTCAGTAACTTTTTACTTTATCGTGAACTATTGAATCCAAATTTGCATATTGATCAATCAAATAAGATAACCGAGTTATTCAGTCTAGTCTATAACCAAATCGACAATAATGAATACTGAACTGAGTATAAACATATATAATTTTGTTTTAGAATTTTGCTTGTCATACAAAAATCATAACAACTACAAGTTTTTTACTTGAAACCCGATTTAAACCTTCTTAAACCAAAAAAAAAGTTTCAATATCAATATAATTTGGTTATAATCCTTGTCATTTGACTGATGAATTATTTGAAAGACATACTGAAAAATAAAAATCAAAAGCTATATTGGAAACTAGATTTAGACACACTCAATATTTGGAGATAAAAGATTGGATTTTTTTTTAAAAAAAAGAACTTGTGTCTATCAGAAATCTATAGAACAAAGGTTAGATCATAGTGACGTGAGCATGACACAATGCATCCCGTGTTGGTTCCAAACAATGCGGCGGTGTAAGCTTTTTGAAGCCCATTATGGCCCACAAACCATTCAAAGCCAGTCTTGATCCTTTCTCTCTATAAATAGACACACAAAATCACAACACCAAAACACATCCAAAATTCGTTTATTACCGAGAAAAGCACCAACAAAAAAAAAACGACATTAAAGAAGTATATGAGAGCTGCAATAATCAGAGCAAATTCACTTGGAGGTTTGTTTTCATTTAAGTTTATCAGAAACATCAAATCAATGTCTTCTTCTTCTTCTTCCCAAGATTTCGTATCAAGACCTGTAATCAAGAAAGTCTTCGCTAAGCTTCAGAAAGAAGGAGATGGAGCCGTCGTTAGACGCGGCATTTCCAGGTTCCTTAGTCTCTCTCTTTTTGTCTTTCTCTTAAGAAAATTCAATGAGCTTCAAGTCTGATAAATTTTCCTATGAATTCAGGAGCGAGCAGAAGTTATTAGATCCGTTCTTGATGCTAGATGAATTCTCCGGTAAATTCTTGATATTCCCTTTGCAAGCAACCATTTTATTTACTTAGCTATCCATTAAAAAAATTAGCCATTTTTAGTTATTATCCATTTTAAAACAGATATTTATTGGTGATTTTCTAATTTATGTTTTACTCTGTGTTTTTTTTTCTTTGGAGCAGTTTCGCCTCCAGCTGGATTCCCTGATCATCCTCACAGAGGTCAATATTACCATTACATACATATATGAAATAGAAACCTTTATTAATTATCTAATGTTTCTTTAACATTTTGTGGAATTAATGATGAACAGGTTTTGAAACTGTTACATACGTACTAGAGGTAATAATATATAAATAATACTCCCTCCGTTTTCGAATAGTTGTCATTTTAACTATATGCACACAAATTAAGAAACTATTAATGTTGTTAGTTTTTCAATATAAAAATATCATTAATTATCTACCTAAACATAATTTAACTAATAGTAAATCAAGTTGCATAATAAAAATAAATATAAAAAATAAAAAAGTAATAAATTTTGCATCGAAAACTGAAAACGATAACTAATTAAAAACAAAAAATTTCTCTAAAACGACAACTATTCGAAAACAGAGGGAGTAGTATTTTTTATTATGAATCTTTAAAAAAACGTTTTAAAATTATCTTATTCGAATTTAATTTTTTGTGGTTTAGGGAGGAATCACTCACCAGGACTTCAAAGGTCACAAAGGTACAATCTATGCTGGTGATGTTCAGGTAAAAAATAAAAAACAGAATTAACTGTTTAATTATTCCATAATCCAACGATCTTTAAAGAACCTAAAAAGTTACTGGACATTTTTACAGTGGATGACTGCAGGAAGAGGAATCATTCATTCTGAAATGCCTGAAGAAGAAGTTAACAAAGGTTTACAACTTTGGATCAATCTTTCCTCCAACGAGAAAATGTAAATTAACCCACTTGCAAATTCGACATTTTTGGAATCTTTAAACCGGAAATTGACTCTTCATTTTTCATTTCCACAGGATAGAACCAAACTACCAAGAACTGTCGCATTCAGACATACCAAAAGCAGAACAAAACGGTGTTGAAGTCAAAGTCATTGCAGGAGAATCAATGGGAATTCAATCCCCTGTTTACACAAGAACACCTACAATGTTCCTCGATTTCACTCTCCAACCAGGAGCTCAAATCCACCAGAATGTTCCTGAATCTTGGAATGCGTTTGCTTACGTTCTAGAAAGTGGTGAAGGCGGTGGCGTTTTCGGTTCTTCGAACTCTTCCCCTGTTTCAGCCCACAACGTTGTGGTGTTCGGGCCAGGGAATGATGGTGTTAGCGTGTGGAACAAGTCATCTTCGAAGAAATTGAGGTTTGTGTTAATTGCTGGAGAACCGATTGGTGAACCGGTGGTTCAATACGGTCCGTTCGTGATGAATACTCAAGCTGAGATTGATATGACCATTGAAGATTATCACTATGGTAAGAATGGCTTCGAAATGGCCAAGTATTGGAGGTCACAATGATAAAGAACTAATAATCATCACTACTTTATTATTTTCGTTTCTTTTCTTTCTATTTTAATTATGTGTGTTCTAATTGGATAATAATAAAATGAAAACAAACGTTTTTTTTCTTTCTCTTTTGCTAAATTTGTGGGTGGGAACCCATTAAATCCGAGGCTGACTATTTTTTAAGTTCCAAACATTGTCATCATTATTAAGGAAGTCTTCCACAATTTTAGTTTAAATTACAAACTGTTCATACTATTATATTGACATATGAAGAAAGCATAAGACACTTTCTATGATTCTTAAAATGTCTAAATGTGAATAAGACAGACAAAACAATTGTTAAATTCCAAACGCGTATTAACACAGTGAAGTGACATAAACATGATTATTTTGTCTCAACTCTCAACATTATGATTTAATTATATAGTGGACGCAATAAATATACTGACAACATTGCTTCAACAGTTCAACTGCCGCATCTATTCGAAATTAAGAACCAAAATTGAAAATTGAAATAAAATTTTTTATCGTTTTGTTTAGATAGTAAATTTGCGGGCCAATGAACTAAAGCAGCAGTTGGAAAATATCAAAATTGATTGAACAATCATAAGTTTACAAAAGTTACAAAAAGGAAGTAGAAATGAGAACATAACTTGTACACTGACCAAACTTCATGCCCAAGTTGCTCACATTTCTTCTGTATCTGTAACACATTTCTCTCTTCTTCTTTTACTTTAACTGAGAACTATAAGAATCTACCTCTGTCTTTCTATAAGTTAACCGGGAACACAATTTTACCCGAAACCAATCCGCAGGACAAAGAGAAACCGGTACAAAGATGTTACCTCGAACAGCAAGAGAATGTCTTTGTTCCTTCGTTCTCGTTCTTAACCAAGCTAACCCGATTTACGGTTAGCTCCTCTTTGTAAGAATCAGAGTTCAATTGCTTTCGACTAATGTTACTATAGATCTCCCGAATAACCATCTCGAAAGCCGTCTTTACATTGGTCGAGTCCAGCGCAGATGTCTCCATGAAAAACAATCCTTCAGACTCAGCAAGACTCTTACCTTCCTCAACACTCACCGCTCTTATGCTCTCGAGATCACATTTGTTTCCAATAAGCATTTTTGCTACTGTTGTATCAGAATGAGCTGCACCAAGATTCATCATTACTGTCAAAACTCACTCTAAACCCAGCTTATCACAATTCCAAGCTCGATAGAGTAAAGATGCAAACAAGAATCGAAAATTCTACTTGAAGAGTATGTAACAGTTCAGAAACAATCATTGCATATGCTTCATCATTCAGTTTCATGATTATCATAAATCTAAAGAATTAGATAAACTTGACTTGACTTTGAATCAAAGTCTCATGAAGTCATCATGAATCTTTCAGATCTAAAAATTCTCACCAGCAGCATCACTATCGCAATGATTCAATCCTAAAATTCACACCTAATCCAAATCCAAATCGATCCCTACTCTAATCAAAATCAACATTCATATTTGCAGATCTCACTTACTGTTGAGCTCATCGAGCCAGCGACCGACGTTTTCGAAAGTGGAGCTACGAGTGATGTCGTAGACGACGAGAGCTCCAACGGCGCCACGGTAATAAGCAGAAGTAACGGCACGGAAGCGTTCCTGGCCGGCGGTATCCCAAATCTGAGCTTTGACCTCTTTGCCGTCGATGACCATGCTCTGAGTCTGAAACTCGACGCCGATGGTGGCTTTGGAATTGGGATTGAACTCGTTACGGGCGTAGCGAGTGAGGAGATTGGATTTGCCGACGGCGGAGTCTCCGATGATAACAATCTTGAAGAGGTACTCTTCACCTCTCTCGTCGTCCGACATTTCTCCTTCTTCTCTGTAACGCTTTGTTGGAGAAAGAGAGATCAACGGAGGCTTTATTAGGTTGTTTGTGAGCGCAATGAATGTTATTATTTTGCGCATGAAATTATATTCCATCATTAATACACTAAGATTTTTCTTCTTTTTAAAATTAAAGCAATACTAGATTTTAACCCGCGGTACACCGCGGGGCTATATTTTCTTAAAAAAATCAAAATGTAATTTGTTTGATAGATTATTTTGATTGTTAATTTTAGGATTTCACCCGTGGTATACTATCTTTTATAAATATCAACCCAAACCCGTCCCATCATATTACCCGTCCCGTGAAATTAAACATCATTTAGTTATTTTTCTTTTTAATAATACTTTTATTTAAAAGCTATATAATTCAAGTCAATTTAAAAATTTCTTTTAAATGGTTCCCATAAGATATATATACATATATATTAAATTTGTATAGAGTTGAAATAATATTAATATTACAAACTTTTTATATAATTTAAATATTATAAATATTTTTAAAAATATGCAATATATATTTTTTGTTATTGAATAAGAGGATATTATGTGTAAGAAATGTAGAAAATAAGAGTTTAATATTTTTATTATGGAGTCGTAAGAAAAATCTTTTATTTCTATACATGTTATTCGTTTATTAATAATAAAAGAAAACAAATCCTTTAAATTAGATATTAACTAAAATAAACGCACCATAATTACTTATTAAGTAACAACCAATAAATTTCACCAAAAAATAGGTAACAACCAATAAATTCTAAACGCAGTAATTAAAGAATGAAATATTAAAAAAAAATATCAAATAAGATATAAGAATCTTAAAATAATTGAATATCTAAATAATTTAATTGTTAGTGTCGATTTTAATGCCTTCATTAATGTGGATTTTTTTTTTTACAGAGAAATATTTCCTAAAGATTATCACATTAATGACTCAGAAAATTAAGGAAGATATGAATTTATGATTCTCGAAATCGTATTGGTAATATCTTTAATTAATATTTTTCAAATTTAAATAATTAATGCCAATGGCATTCATCCGTAAATACATTCCAACTCCAGGATTTATTTGCTAAAAGTCATCCAAAAATGTATATATAGATTGATAGATTATTTTGATTGTTAATTTTATGATTTCACCCGTGGTATACTATCTTTTATAAATATCAACCCAAACTCGTCCCATCATATTACCCGTCCCGTGAAATTAAACATCATTTAGTTATTTTTCTTTTTAATAATAATTTTATTTAAAAGCTATATAATTTAAGTCAATTTAAAAATTTCTTTTAAATGGTTCCCATAAGATATATATACATATATATTAAATTTGTATAGAGTTGAAATAATATTAATATTACAAACTTTTTATATAATTTAAATATTATAAATATTTTTAAAAATATGCAATATATATTTTTTGTTATTGAATAAGAGGATATTATGTGTAAGAAATGTAGAAAATAAGAGTTTAATATTTTTATTATGGAGTCGCAAGAAAAATCTTTTATTTCTATACATGTTATTCGTTTATTAATAATAAAAGAAAACAAATCCTTTAAATTAGATATTAACTAAAATAAACGCACCATAATTACTTATTAAGTAACAACCAATAAATTTCACCAAAAAATAGGTAACAACCAATAAATTCTAAACGCAGTAATTAAATAATGAGATATTAAAAAAAAATATCAAATAAGATATAAGAATCTTAAAATAATTGAATATCTGAATAATTTAATTGTTAGTGTCGATTTTAATGCCTTCATTAATGTGGATTTTTTTTTTTACAGAGAAATATTTCCTAAAGATTATCACATTAATGACTCAGAAAATTAAGGAAGATATGAATTTATGATTTTCGAAATCGTGTTGGTAATATCTTTAATTAATATTTTTCAAATTTAAATAATTAATGCCAATGGCATTCATCCGTAAATACATTCCAACTCCAGGATTTATTTGCTAAAAGTCATCCAAAAATGTATATATAGACTACAAAATATGAATTTGTTTACTTTTTTTTTATTTCAGGGACCAAATATGAATTTTATATTTTTTTTTTTGTTTTTTAAGAAATTTAAAATTTGATGAAATGAATTCATTTTTATTTATATCAGGACCAAATATCAATTTATTTGTTTTATGAGAAAATTTTATATTTGATGAACTAAAGAGATCTAACTTTCTTCGAAGATATATACTGTATACACAATTTTTGTTTGCCTCCAAAAGGAAATTAAATGGTGTATAGTTTACAACAACTTAAAACCTAATTGGTAACAAGTGGATTTTCCATATCAGTTTTCAAAAACAAAAAAAAAATATATAAAGAAATTGGTATTTGTACATTTATTTCCTTCAAATAATGATTTTGGTTCAGTTAAGGTTTACTTTATACATTTGTTGGAAACTTTCAACCGATCCTGATATTTTTCTGAGTTTTTCATTCACAGATCAAAACGTACGTAGGATTGAGAACTATTCACACACACAAACGCGCATCTCTTTCAAATCTCAAATAATGGGTTTTGCTCTAATTAGCTAAATTAACCAACTTTGAGAAAAAAAAAAGAAAAAAAAACGAATGATTGAATTTTAAGTTATAATTAACGTCAAGACTTTGAGAGAGTGACAAAACCCCAACCTTAATTAACCTATCATCACTTTCATTAGACCTCCAAAATAACTCCTTCCTGCTATGTTTCTTTATCTGTCTTTGAATTGGTTCTTCTATTACTTTATTGCATCATATTTGGAAACATAACGCATCAATTCATCATCGTTTCTTGCATGCCCCACAAGTACATTTCTCCATTCCCTTTTCCAGTGACTGCACATACCAGATCATTTAAAAAATCATATTAATTTCTCCATATGCATACTTGAATAAGACATTAAGACCTCGACATGTGAATAAACCGGACCTCAGAATCTAACCGATCAAACATGACGTAGACCAATCGCGTGTGTATATATGATAAATATAGTATAATTAACCATCTATCTGTATGTTTAAGTAGAGCTATTATGCATGATTCTTAACTTAGAAGAGTCTATTGTTAACGTACTTCTATTACAAAAGTTTTTTAACAAAATTTAAGATGCAAGTATGATCAGTTTTATGTTAGCAGGGTGAAAATGATATAAAGAAAACATTATTATCATGAGACCAACGCAAAAACCTTATTGTTCATGAGAATGTATATATTTTAATTAACAGTCACATGCATGACATTTTGATGTCATGTAATTTTATTGTTGTCATGCATGTAATTTTCTAAGTGGGGATTAAAAAACACGTCTGAGTAAATTATATGATTCATGATTTGATCATATTGGGCGATAACTTACCACTATACACCATAACTATTTTCTAAAATAATATAATTTGGCTTAATGTAACATTTTCTCAACATATATGAGGAATATGATACCCTTTTGCTTCATATATATGTATCTAAGGACGCACCTCTACTTGGTGTTGAAGACCTTTGATATGCTCAACAGCCAAATCCAACATATCTGCGTAGCTCGTTTGCTGCCAAAATTTTCAAACCGTTATTATATATAGATAATAGATACATAAAACTAAACCAAAATTACACAAATATAGAAATAATATCACTTACCTTATCCATATTAGGCACAAGTTCTTGTAGCTTCTTCAGCTTCCCGCTTATTCTCGTTCTTCTCTCCTATACACAAACACGCAAACCAAATCATATAAAAACTTGATTATACTCTTGTTTTCTTTGCTTTTCAAATTAAACTACATTTTAAGATTATATCAAGACTCATGCGATAGTAATCACCATAATAATAGAATAAAACTAACCCTTTCAGCGATGCTGCGTGGGTGAGTCGCGAAGCCGCGCTTGGCCCTAGCCTTACAAGGAACCGAGTCCTCTGGGATGTTCATCAAGTTCTCCATTCTCGCCATTTCCAGAGATGTTTGCGGCATGCTAAACTAAAAGTCAAAAGCACATATATTAATGAGGTGAAACAATCTAACCACTCAATGAATATCATAACCAAACCAATATCAGTGAAAAATTTACACAAAAATCATTTGGTAGCAAAGGGCTAGTGAAAAAGATATATAAATCAATCATAAACCTTCTCTAAGCTATTTATATGTATTACACACAACCACTCAACTTTGGCTTCTACACACATGAACTTTGGCTATTTACATTTTTATTGGCATTTATTTCAACTTGGAATTGTATCGTAAACTTTATGGAATTCAAATTTGGCTTGTAGAATTCATATTATATGACACTATAATAATATCTGTTAGCATACAACTTGTGAACCATACATAGACAAATCATTAATAAACAATTTTCAGGCTATTTGTTTGGATCGATTATAATTATATTCCTAAATAAGTCATAGACCTTCTCCAAGCAGTTTATATGTATTACACAAAACCATTCAACTTAATTTGGCTTCTACAAATGAAATTTAGACATAGACATTTTTGTTGGCAATATTTGAACTTGGGATCCTATTGCTAACTTTATGGAATTTAAACTGATTTATAGATTTCATATTATATGACACACTATGATATGTACAACTTGTGAACCTATTATAGTAGATCAATCATATAAACCTTCTCCAAGCCATACAAACTAATAATACCCAAAACCACTCAACTTTGGCATATTCACTCTTTTTGCCCTTTACCTAGAAGAATCCAGGATTTATTAACTTTGTTATATAGAAATTTAATCTAAAAAGTAATTCATACAATATAAATACATATATTAACCGCAAAATGAAAGAAAATATATACCTGAGTTTCTAACGTGAAAAAGTCGGAGTTCTTGGACCGTTTTCCGGGTTGATCAATGGTGAAACTGATATGAGAAGACGAGTTGTCCCAATTGTTATTATGATTATGATTTCCAAAACTCATACTACTCGATGCGACACCGTTTATAGCCGCCGCAGCCGCTTCAGCCTCCAAAATTCGCGGTAGAGACTTATGTTCTTGATGACTACTACTGCCGCCAGAGAATCTCAGCTCCGACTTCAACCTCGACGGCGCTCTCTCTCCTCCTCCGCCGCCGCTGTAACCTCTGTTTGGCTGTCCTAGAGAAAAACCTGTTCCTTCTTCCATCAACAAATTTAGTTTGAAAGAGAAAGAAGTTTGTAATGTAATGTGTAGGGTTATAATTAACTTTTTGTCTCAGTATTTTAATAACCAGCTTGGTTTTTAAAATCTTTTTTTTTTTTTGGCCAAAAAACCAGCTTGGTTTTTAAAATCTATAATACAAAATAAGAAGAGAATGGGTCGTCTTCGAAACTCGAGGACCCCTTCCTTTGTCTCTTCTTATATTTATCACCAATTTGGTAGAGAATAAGGATTCATGAAAAGAATCTTAGAAATATTCACTTTTCGAATTCCAATTATTATCATATACAAATTAGTATGAGTATAATAATGCAAGATGGGTAAATTTTCTTGGGGCTCGCACATGGATTACAGGGGAATGTGAACCGGACATATGCAATGAACCGAAGATCAAATTGCACAAAAATAATACAAATTATTAATAATCTAATCATATATAATGACAAGTAGGCGTATCCTAAAATCGAAATAGTGACCTTGATGAAGCCATGTCAGCAGGGTAGGCCATCATGGCTGCTTTGTCAGAAGAAAAAGAGCAAGTGGATGGATTAAATATTTCTAAGTGGATCGGATTATACTTTTTGTAACGATTCTTCTTTAACATAACACTTTTGGCAAGTGTATGTTTTATATTACATGCTATATGCATTAAATTGCATTATTAATATAAACAACTTGCCACTCTTGGAAATACGTATTTGATTATTCTTGCATGTTTATACATGTATATATGCGACTATGATCAACCATGGTATATTTCTCCAGACATAAACTGAAAGAGAAAGGTGTGTATAAGATCTAGAGATAGATTACCTATTTACCAATTTTTATTTTTATTTTTCTCAAAAAACTATTGACTAAAGCAAATATCTATAGATAGATATTTTGAAACTACATGTGTATTAGATATTCAATTACGTGGTTGATATTGTTCTTTAATTATATAAAAAAAGGTCGCATCCCTTTATAAATGGAGGGAAACCAAACCAATTCCAACCTACAGACAAACTACTTAAAGTCATCGATACAAAATCAAGACTACATGGTTTAGATTACAGCAAGTCAAAATTTACTTGCCGACATATTTATCGATATTAAAAACATATTCAGTTTTTAAATACTAGATTTGACACAAATATGGAATTTTGTATTTTCTTATACCAAATTCGTATTGCTTATGGAAAAAATAAATATTAAATGTTGTAAGAAAACTTCTAATATGTAAAAAAATGTTTTAACACATTTAAGAAAAATTCGTAGTGTGTATCATCGTATAATATTTATGTCAATTATCCGTCGACAAAATTCAGTTCCAAACAAAAAGTAGGAAAAATAAAGAAACGAAAACGTTACCGTTGGGATCAGTGGGAAGATGTTGGTCGTAGAATCCGGCCGGAGAGCTTCTGTGTCGGAACAAAGAAGAAGAAGAAGCACCGGAATCGAATCCGATGGAAGATGGTTCGCCAGATAAGTAATGGCCGACGACGAGGAGGTTGGGATTGTGCTGCTGCCGCTGCGGCGGTGAAGAATGGTGGCTTTGAGGGGCAAGAGAGGAGAAATCACGGGTGGCTCCGGCGGCTGAGTCATATTGATTTCTGTAGGCGTCGCCGCCGTCTGGAGCGGTGGACTTAGAGGAATTAGGAGGGTACATGAAATCGGAAAAGAAAAACCCTACAAAAGTTAATCTGATGGTTTCAGGAAGAATCTTGAGGAGAGGGTTTGAGGGAAAGAAAGAAAGATATTATTATGACTATAATTTATTAATTAATATGATAATTAAAGTAAGAGTAACAAATTAGAGCGATGGCTTGTGGGTGCTTGACCAAGAGAGAGTCTCCTCCCGGTCCCGTCAACGCACGTGCTCCTCACGTGGTTGACAGATGGTGGTTTGACGATATTTGCGATATTTTCTTATAACTTAGCATCATTAATTTTGGAAACAGAGTTGGTTTAAGAAAAAAATAGGAAGTTATCATTGATCAGTAAAGAACTAAAGATGTTGGTTGAATATGATAACAATTTTTCGATTTATTAGGTTAAACTTAATTCGATCAAAAAATTAAATTTAAGTGGAGTTATTATCATGTAATCATGTATGATGGTATCGATAAATCAGTCGATATAATGATCTCGGGTATATTCATTAATAATCTTTACAGCCTAAAATGCCAATTTTATGCTCATAATTAAGAGAGAAACAAATATCAAATAAATGGTGTATTGTATAAATTTAAGTGAATACTTTTACAGATAATCAAAGCCTACATTATTTTTGGGGGATGAGACTAATGTCCATATTAGTTTTATTATCGTCAAGTGGGTCGTTAAGATTCCATTTTGTATTATTAATGGGTAATCAACTTGCTGTTTAACTAAACTTTTCATTTATATAAAAAGTCTATTTCTTCGTTAATTAACAAAAAAAAAAAAAAAAAAAGTCTATTTCTTCGTTTATGTTTTCGACCGACCCCAGTCCCCATATGATCCAAGAGAAAGGCAGACCATGACAAAACATCCATTTTAAATTTATACGTTTCCTTGATTTATAATAATTAAAAACAACACATGCACTTCTTTTTTTATTAAACTATGGTGAAAGTCGGGAAAACGGCTGATTCCCCCACAAACTTAGTTACTTTATCGGATTTATACACAGAACTTTGAAGCGTGCCTATAACTATATGAACTAAACTAAATTTTGAATTTCCTACACAGACAATGTAAATCCGGTCAAAACCATCAAATCGACAAACGGTGTTACTGTTCCGTTAAATATTGCTAACTAGGATGCCACATACTGCTATAGAACGACGTCGTTTTGTTTAATTTTGTAAAAATAAAAATCTGAGACAAAATATAAATAAGCTAGGGGTCGAACTGAAGACCCGTAGTATATAAACGCTAGTACCAAACCAGTTGAGACATCGTAACTTTCTGTGAAACAAACTCGAAAACCTATATATAACGTAATAACTGAAAAAATAACCAAAAACCTTTTCTCTTTCCTTTCTTCTCTGTAAAAAA